AGAGAGAGAGAGAGAGAGAGAGAGAGAGAGAGAGAGAGAGAGAGAGAGAGAGAGAGAGAACGAACTTTAGCAGATTGAGCCTTTAGATGCCTTTTATCAAATATAAATATTTTCAACTTGTTTTTTTATATGAAATACACAAACATATAAATTCAAATACAACTAGTGTAACAATGTTAACATGTTAACGCAACGAGGAAAATACCGTGAAGCTTTTATTTTGAAACAACAAACAGGAAGTGCTTGTCTGTTCGCCTAGCTTTATTTTCCGCCGGTTTCAGCGATGGGATCTTCTGCTCTTTTGGTTCCCAGCACTCTGGGTAAAATTAGTACACTGCAGGAAGTCMGTCTGGTTTGTGAAACAGAACTCAAAAAAAGGAAAGAAAGGAAAAACTCAAGCGGATATTAWTATTTATAAAAACACCTCACCCGGCTAACAGGTAAGTAAATTATGGAATTAATTTATATGTAGGTGACAATTTATACTAACTATTTATTTACCTTGTTTCTTCTTATGTGATAGAATAATCCAAAGGATGGTGAATTGTGTAGCTGGTGTGTTTATTCTTTAAAAAAATATGCTTATTGTTACAGGTTTTAAAATCTTGACATCATAGTAAATCTAGTCAGTCCAATAACACCACGACCTCCATTTCCTGGGAAATTCAATTAACTCACTTTGATTTTTAGTTTAAACTGTGTTTCCTATGGACATCATTCTTCTAGTTTCCAAATCATGCCTTGTTAAACTGACTTTTTGGAGTCCATTAATGGATTAGTTTATTATTGTTGAAATGTATTATCAATTTATTTTAAGTATTAATTGGTCTGGATTAGGCTCTGACGTTGTATAGATCAAATTAATAAATTGAACTAAAATAAACTGTTTAAATCAGTGGTTATCTGGTTTTTGTACAGGTTTATGTTTTACAAACATGCTGAATTTGTTTTGTGGGAAACAATGCTTCAATAATTATCAAACATTTTGTTAACTAATCTTTCTAAAATGGTAATGAGGAGTTAAAACTTTGAACATAAATTAGTTTGTTTGTTAATTTGGTTTATTGACTTCTTGTCACTTGGGATATTAGGAGAATATTGAGGGAATTAAGTATAATAATTAAAAMAATTAGTTATAACCATTCCATAGAATAACTGCAGTGTCCTGGCTGAAATCATCTGACATGCTTCACCTAATGAAGCCTTTCTTATATGTCCTATCATGAGTCTTTTAAGTGCATCCTCTCTTTTGAGTCCATGTGCTGTCTTTGTGTGCCTGATACCTTCCTGTCACCAACAGATTGAACTTTTGCATACTTCCTCATAGGAATACCTTTACGATGTTGTATTTTTCAAACTGGTTCTGTAAAGCAGCCATGACGGGAGTGGTTTTTGAGTTACGAGTAAGAAAACATTCAGCAAATGTTTTGATTTGACTGGTTTTACTTGCGCTGAAAAACCCACAGCAACTCAGTTTTAACCAAATGAACAGGTGTGTAAAAAAAAAAACAAGTTAAAACAAAAATTAGTTTCACTTGTGGTGTTTATGTCGGCTAGTGTTGTAGAGACAGAAACATGCCCCTGTTGTCGTGTACTGAAAACCATTGGATAAAGTGTATTTGTGTTGCTTTACAGTCAAAGATTTTTACCCCCTAAATCAGTGTGTCAAGTCTAATTTCAGCCTTTATTCACCCCCMTCCCCCACTGTTATGAAATTCAATAATATAAAAAAAAACTTGACACTGTAGACAGTTAAGAACTGTAGGAAAAACAGGTTTGGTGTGAACTGATCTATCAAGGACAGTCTTAGAAAGACAAAATAAGTCAAACATTCCCACTGAAATTCACTTCCTGTAATGTTTGCTGGAAACTTGAGCCATTGTGTCAAGAACAACATGCCTTTCCTTAGTTAAGTGTTTGTCCTAATATTGTTGTTCTTTAACCACACGAGGATTAAAAAGGAGCTCACCTCATTGCTCTGAATCATGTGCTGCTCTGTATTAAGCATGTTGCGTAACTCCTGGTGGCCCCTAAGCCTCAGGAAACCTGGGATATGGAGGTAGTGTGTTCATTAACATGGGGTATTGCTCAAACCGTTGCAGAAAAATAATGAGGCTTTATTCTTCCTGTGTTCCAATCAAGCTTTACTTCAGGATTCCTCAGTTCTGAGAGCTTTTACTCAACGTTTTGTAGTTCTGTGCCAAATGTAACTTTTTTCAAAAATTGTGTTTTCTTGTGGTTTGGACAAGACACTTATTTCCACCCTGAATGCACCTACTGAAAGTCAGATCAACAAGCTTGGGCTGTTTGTGGTGGTGTTTAAGCCATTCCAGTCGTTCCAGTGTGGCTGTTTTTATTTGCATTGCAGAAAAATGCCTTGCAGGAAGTAACATTTGTTATTTATCATTGTTTAGAATKTGGCGTTAAAACTGGCCTAATTTCAGCTGGTGAACTGCAACTACTGGAGTTGCAACTAGTTTTGTTGTCAGCAAAAAAAAAAAATGTATTTTTGATTAAAGCCTTCATACTCCCATAAATAATGCTATATAACCCAACACTTGCAATACAGTAATAAGCGTCAACATTAACACGACTGCTTTTTAATAATAGAAACTGTAATTTAAGTTGAGAGTTGATAGATAAAATAAAAGGCTGCATCCTCATTTATCAAACATGACCCTGTGTTGTTTCCTTTTTGTTGCTGCTTAGTCATTGTTTCTGTTATTATTTATTTTCAAATAGCAGTTGTCGCGAATGCCTGCCCACGGCATTTCTTATGAATAAGCCAGGTTTCTGTGACGTATCGTTTTAATTAAAGGATGTGGAGAAAGAGATATGGACGTTTCTTTTCTAGTTCAGTTGTGATAAACAGGTTTTATTAGGCTGAATAACGCCTGACAAGCTCTGAACTTCCTCTAAAGGCCTTGCTTTTCAGTCATTGTGTATTGAAAGCAGCCGCAGTAGTCGGGAGTATTCCAAACAATAACACTTTGAACATTTTTGTATATTGATGTCAAAAAGAAGCCTCGCATCAAAGCCTTTTAAAACCCCTGCCACCGAGGAAAAAGTGTTTTAAGTTTTGTGTGGCTGTGTTAGTGTGTGTGCACTAGGGTTATCATGTTTATAACATTTCCAGTCATTCAAACGACTGCAATTAGTTTGTTTTAACATTATTTGAGTGCATAAGCCTGTAATTTATTGGCCGACTTAACCCTCAACTGTAACTATTTATTCATTGGAAAACCAAAACATTAACATCAATAAAATGAGCCTTTACCTAAAGGCTTTTTGATTAAAAGCTGTATTCTGAGGATGAGCCACATTAAAAGTCAGATGGTGAGATTAAACTAGCCTTGTCACTCTGGACTCCWCTCCATTCTCATCCTCCTTGATTTAAGCACAGCCTTTGACAYMATTTCRCACACCATCCTCATTGATAGTCTATCACGTATTGGTATTTCAGACACACCCCTCAACTAGTTTATTTCATACCTTTCTGGTCRTACACAGTTTGTTCAACTAAAATCTTTTTCATCCCATTCAACCCCTCTCTGTTCTGGTGTTCCACAAGGTTCTGTCCTCGGCCYTCTTCTTTTWATCATTTACCTSCTTCCGCTTGGAAATATTTTCCGTAAACATAACATCCAATTCCACTGTTATGYGGATGACACCCAGCTCTATCTGTCCACCAAACCCAATGCCACCCTCCCACCCACCTCACTGTCTGACTKCCTRTTTGATATCAGGTCCTGGTTCACAAGCAACTTTCTTAAACTAAACAGTGACAAAACTGAATTTCTTCTCATTGGAACTAAATCCACCCTTGCAACAACTAACAACTTTTCTATTCTCATTGACAGCACCTCAAAATCCCCCRTCCCTCAGGTTAGGAATCTGGGTGTCATCCTAGACAACACATTATCATTTAAATCTCACATCAGTAACATTACTCGTTCAGCCTACTTTCACCTCCGTAACATTGCTCSTCTCCGTCCATCCCTCTCACCTGGYAGTACCGCTRTTCTAKTTCACTCTCTGGTCACATCACGGTTAGATTATTGCAACTCCCTACTTTTTGGTTTACCAGCAAAATCCATCCATAAACTACAACTGGTCCAAAACTCAGCTGCTCTTATCATCTCCAGAACCCCTTCCACCAGTCATATAACACCTGTSCTGAAACATCTTCACTGGCTCCCTATCAAATTTCATATTTCCTATAAAATCTTGCTCTTCACCTTCAAAGCCCTCAATAATCTTGCCCCTCAGTATCTCACAGAACGTCTCCACATTAACACACATTCCTACACTCTCAGGTCCTCCTCCTCCATCCAACTCACTCAACCGCCAGCTCATCTGACCACTATGGGCTCAAGAGCTTTTAGTTACTCGGCACCCCACCTCTGGAACTCTCTCCCACCGGACATCAAAAACTCTCCTACCATCTCCATTTTTAAATCACAGATTAAAACTCTTCTCGTTAAACAGGCTTATTCAGTTTAATCAACATCTCCCATTAACCCTACTTTTTGTAGGAAGTTTTGTTTTATACATTGTTTTTATTTGTTAATTGTTATGTAAACTATGTTGTCTTATTGTTATTATATTCTAGGGTTGGGCAATTTTGGCAAAAAAATTAATCACGATTAATTGTGGTATTTAGCCGATAACGATTAATTTGACGATTAATCCCCCAGAGTCCCTGGACACCCTTATATCTTAGTCACATGACCAATTTATAGGGAGAAAATTGGCTCCTCGTAAAAATCTGTTCCAAATTGTGTCAAAATTACAGATTTCCGTCTATACATAAAACTTTAAATTGTGTTGATAGACAAATAAATTACACAACTTTTTAAATGTTGGTCATATTTGAATCAGAGAGGAGCACCGAGCAGTTAGTCTGCCTGGTGGCATTAATTGTAGTAATCGTCAAGTGCCAAAAATTAATCGATTAATGTTTTTCTGACGATTAACTGCACACGATATGATTGTGCCCAACCCTATTATATTCTATGTTTTATTCATTTGTTTTATTGCATTGTATTTACATTGTACAGAGTCCTTGAG